AAAATAAAGGTGGTTCCTTTTGGGGGAGGGTATGTTTGGGGGGGGGATCGGTTGGGTTTTTTGACCAGGGCAAAGGGTGGTTCCGGGGGGGGGGGGGGGGTTGGATTGGATTTGAGGCTGCGGGCACGGTGCATCGCTTGTATGCTCTCGGCTTTTGCGTGTTGTTGTTTGTTCTTTACGGCCGATGTTTTTTTTTGTTGCTGGTGGTGTCTGACAGGTGGTCGTGTAATCCCGTCACTGCCCAAAGTTTCCACATATTCACAAAGAAACAAAGGTACAACAGCAGCTGCACGGCCTCCTCCCAGCCGACAGCAAGGTTCATATGCACCAACCCTGTCAGGCTCCCCCTGCGAACTCTCGAGCAAAACACAGGGGGTCATCACGATACGACTCTCCCACCCAACTCCACCGTTACTTTCTCGCCAAAATGCTGCCATGTATACGCACTGAAAGAAAAGAAAGAAACAACGCTCACCAGCTCAAGCATGAAGTGTCGAGGCCTCAGCTTGGAGAGTTTGCGAACGAAAGCGCTGCCTTCGATGCGGAAGCTGGATCCCCCCAGCTTGGATTGCCCCAGCGGGAGGGGAAAAAAAAAAGAGAGCGGGGGGGGGGGGGGGGGGGCGCATAAACACACTCATTTGAGGTCAGGGGGACGGTGGAGCCCAGCAGCCGCTAGGTGTACCCTACAGCGTGCCCCAGTCCCCTACAAAGTTAGGCCAGATGGGGACACCCCCGAAATGATGCTCAATACCATTCGAAGAGGAACGGCTGGTATTGGGCGCTATCACGGGTTTACACAAACGGGAGGCATACAAACACGGGGTGGGGGGGGGGCGATGGGGCGCTATTTATGGGAAGATAAAAAAACATGGCATAGAAAAAAAACGCGAAAGAACGCCAGCGGCCGCAAAAACGTTACATCAGGGGGAAAGAGCAGACAAGAGAGCGCAGGGCAAAACAAGAAGGAGAAGAAAGAGAAACGCCGACCATGAAACAAAACCGATTCATACAAATTCTCGTCGTCCAGCTGACTGGACGCACTTTCGACGTCACATCGCATGACCCCCCCAAGAAACATGCAATCGAAAATGTAGCATGTTAGCGCGTGTCTCACGGCGGTACAGCACACAAAATCGTCCCCGTAGGCACACCATGACGTGAGATTGACGGCTCTTACTGGTTCGTTTCCTATCTGGACTGCGCTGGCATGTGAACATTGCCACTCATGAAGAAGCCACAAGTCGACACCAAAACCTACGAGCGGAACTTGGGGGCACCACCACGCCCTTGTGATGGAGCCGCACAAAGCCTCCTCTACCGAGACTTGCGACCAACCTAGCCCGCAGCCGTGCCGTCGAACATGAAAAACAAAATCGTGTAACCTTGCTCTTCTGCGCAGACAAAAAACCAACACCAGCTTTTTGCTGTTGCTCCAATTATTGGTGCCTGTTTTCTCTGACGACAATGACTACGAGATTTTCTGGTCACGCCTCCCCCCGCTACCGCCCCCGGCCGAGCTACATACAAGTAGGACGACAGAGAATGAGCGTGGAAAATAAGCAGTCGTCGTCGTCGTACGTCAAAACAATATGTGCTTCACATTTAGAGCACGCTTACAACCGCGCGCCCCCCATAACGCCATTTCACCATTCCCATCCTCTGCCGAACGTCTACGTACACATTACAGCGGGAACCGACTGAACAACCGAAGCGTGGCAAATGAAGAAGCAAGCACGACAGTACTTCGGTCGTAGGGCGCGCATGACGTGACGGACCAAAGCACAAAAGCCCATGCGATCTCACTCGCTCTCCCCTCAATCGCCCCCTCCCATGTGCACTGTGCCAGGTGGGCCCACTCCCCTCTCTCGGGGGAGTTGCAAAAATAAAGCTCTTCTTCTTAACGCTCTTGAACATCGCTCTTCTTTCTCCACCCCTCAACACGCGGTCTCCGTGTACTCGTTTTCCTGAGAAAACAACAGCAGTACCGCCACCCCCTCCTCCTACCAAGCACGCACCTTCCGTTTGAGAGTGACCTTGTCGGAGACGCTAGATCTCCGTTGCACCTGCTGCGGCGGTGGTGTCGAGCTCGCATCCCCTCCCGCTACCGCCGCCGCCGCCGCTCCCGCTCCCGCCCCCCCTGCCCCGCCCTCCCCATCCACCGCCACCGCCGCCGCAGCTGCCGGATCCGCGCCGTCTTCGTCGTGCCGTACCCAGTGAAACTTGAGGTCTGTACCCACGCATCTCACCCAGCCGTCCTGCTCGGCGCAACATTTGATTGGTCAAGCCACCTTCGGTGCTAAATCAACATTGTATCGGTCCACGACACCGAGGTGGTTGATACTCGGCCATCGGGGGGGGGGGGGGTAGATGGAAACCGGGGGCACCGTAGATCAACTGTAAAGTAGAGCGCCTGTTGCATCCGACGGCACCCACCGTGATTCCCATGCGGGTTCCGCTGCACCCCCCAAAAAGCACCACCCTCTACATATCGTCGACAGGCCAGATAATTGATTTCTCACCTTCCCCGAGTAGTGGATGTTGTACGTCTGAAGCTGGGCCTCGCTGAGCTGGATGGGTAGCTGGAAGCGGATCTTTTGCCCCGGCCGGGCGTCGTGCGGGCAGTGCACCATCACGCGCTGCCCCCCCGCTGCCGATCCCGAATGAAAGATAAGGGGGGAACGAACGGATGACCGCAGTGTGACGCGAGAGAAGCAGAGACATCAAACAGTCTGGAAAAACACCAGTAGAAAATCGTACTATAACCAAATACAACATGATGCTTCGATGTCAGCGAAACATTAATGAACTCACGTGTAGAGCACATTCTCGTAGCATGGAGGAGAAAACGAGTGCTACGAAACGTCGCGAACCAACGACAAAAGATACGGCCCACCCGATCCATTTCGTATCTTCCTGCATTCTCTCAACCTAGCCCCCGCGTACAGTAGCTCATAAAACTTAGGTCAAAGAATCGAAGTCAAGCATTGCAGCGGGAAAAGGTGAGACAAAAAAAACATCCTGTGCCACCCCGGCAGGTGTGTCAAACACAGACTGAGCATGCCGACATGACATCAGCGGGTAACACACACACCGACCCAACATCCTCAGGTGTACGCGGCTACGATTAGCACCGCGAACTTAGGGCCCACTGGGGGAAAAGGTGAGGGTTGCCGCTACGACTGGCGCGAAAATAGATGACGTGGCGGTATGGCCCCGAAAAAGCAAGCACCCAAGCCCCCACACCTGAACAAGGAGACGCACAAGCAAGGTCCCAAAACGAAGAGTCGCTCCAAGACTTCCCTCCCCCCTCTGCTCTCCTCTCCAGCGATCTACCCCTCGCGGCAACAAACTCCAACCTACCCCCCCCCCCCTCCTCGTCCTCCAACCTCTCGAGACCACCATACCCACCGATGAGCGCAAACGGCTGCCCCGGTCGCACCCCCGGGGGCACCGCGACTTCGAAGGTCTGGTGCAGCGCTCCCTGCGGCTCTTCCAGGCGAATTCTAATCTGCATGCCGGGGGTGACGTTCGGGGGGCACGCCACCCTCACCGGGTGGCTGTTGACCATAACGTTGAACTCCCCACCCGGCGAAACACCCGGGGGGACTGTCGCCATGTACACCTACAGGCGGTGGGGGGGAAAAGGGGGGGGGGGGGTTAAAAAACGGGGAAGGGAAGGGGGGGGCTATTTATAAAGTTTTTTTATGTTTTTTACCCCCGGTTTGAAAAAGGCTCCTGATTTCCGCTTCCCCCGCTTTGAAAAAAAATGAAGGTTTCCCCAAAAAAAAAAAAAATTTAACGTATTTAGGGGGAACGAGTTTAATTTTTCCCCCCCCTC